GACTGTGTATATCCCACTCCGCTGCGACTGTGTATATCCCACTCCGCTGCGACTGTGTATATCCCACTCCGCTGCGACTGTGTATATCCCACTCCACTATGACTGTGTATATCCCACTCCACTGTGACTGTGTATATTCACAAGGACAGATGTGTCTTTAATCAGGTCAACACCCTGTCTCTGAGGTTAATAACTAGTATTACTATTGGTCTACTGGGGAGTCTGGGGTGCCTCTTACATGCTCTCGGCCCCATATGCTGATAAGTGGCATTTGGTCCTCTTTAGATTATCATCTTTATTCATCCATTTTTGTTTGTTTGTTTTCCAGCACGGGACCTGTGTTTATTTCTCATGTGCTCTGAAGAGCCTTTCTCTTTCCAAACTCTCCTTCACCCCTGAGATTCCTGAACATAGCAGTTACATTTCCTCATTTCTACCATCTAGGTCTCTGCTTTCATGTCCCATGGGAGGCAATCATGTCCTGTAGCCCCAATTTCAGGTCTTTAGCCATGCTGGTTTTATTATAAATAAATGTAATGCCCAATCATCCTGATGCTTTATTCATATTTGTGCTGATGATACTTCTTTCATCTTTGTTGGTTAAAGCCATGCCGTGGGTATCTGTTATTTGTCTTTCTTTGGACTGTCTTTTTGGAAATAGCCTGTCACTCATAGTATGTAGTTTGGGACAAGCATCAATCAGATGGTCCTGGCTCGTCTACCACAACAATGAACATGAAGAAGACCCAGGCAGGAGGGCTGATGTGGGGATTTGATGTGGATGTTGGAATGAGATAGTTATTCTCTTTCATTTGGAATTACTAGGTGCCGATCACCGTATTTGCCACCACATGGGAAACCAAGAGCAAGCAAACATAGAGGAAAGGCGTGGAGGAAGGAGAGAGACAGGAGGGAGTGTGGCAAACAGAGATAGCATGATGATGATGTTCTTTGAAACCTGAATTTAGCCACTCCTGAGGTCAACACCACCTCCTTGACCTCGCCTTTCCTTTGTTGCCAGGGCTACCAGAGACACTTTCTGTCACCTGCAACTGGAAGGTGTTCCGTCATTGTCAATATCAGTGCATGCTCATTTAACCACTGCTAGTGTTAGACTATGGTGATTGGTGCTGTGGAATTCAGGGAGTCCACAGCCTCTGCATTTCAGAAACTCACCCCTAGGTAAGAGATGGAATACTAATAAAATATTTTAAAAAGCACAAGTTATTTAGGCAATATCAAGTCACTCTCGGTGGATAATCACATGATGTTTGTATACATTAAACAACAATTTAATTTGCTCTGTTGACCTATATTATTGAAGAATATAAGTAAGAATGTTTGAAATTAGTCTAAGGTCAATTGTTTTCTTTTAGTCCATTTCATCCTGTGACTCTGAAGAGCCCCCCAAAATGAATAGTATTCTAGTCCAATTATGCTTTGTTTGACTACAGAAAATGAAAGAAGCCAGAATT